GTGCTCCTGGTGTTTGTGGTTTCCACTCTGAATTTTGAATAGCCGTGAGGTCTGAAGTGTGCTAATAAACACTAATAATTGTGTGCACTTTTAGTATAAACTGATAAATGTGCTAGGTTCCAATAGATTTCTGTTTCTTTCCTTTTCTATTGTTAGATTTCTTTAATTTTCTATTAAGAACTTAGAATATTAGTGGAAATAGAGAATAATTGGTTTTCCATTATTGAACACATTTATTTCTGAATAATTACTTGTATTTGAATAGATAGCATTAATAGTACATATTTATTAAGCATATTTTGTTATTTTTATTTTGTTTTAGAGATAGATTTGTTCATTAGTTTTATTGTTATTCAATACACCCAAACAGGGAAAGTCTCATATATTTTGCCAATATTACCTTTGCTCAAAGTTTTGTATTTAAGTTCCGAAATTGTAATTTGCTTTGATTTGCTTTGAATCTTATTAGTCTGAATACTCTTTTCTGTTGTTGTGATAAAATAGCCTGTCAACAAAGCAAGCCAGAAGGGGTTTGGTTTACTGAGGCAGTAGTCTATCATTGTGGGGATTTCAAGGCAGTGTGGTCTTGAAGCAGCTTTTCACTTTGTGTCAAAGTCAAAAGCAGAAAGCTGTTAAATGAGTAAATGCCTGCATGCCATGCAGAACTCACTGCCTGTGAGGGTTTGAATGAGAATGGCCTCAATAGAATCATATGCTTCCATACTTAATCCCTAGTTCATGAACTCTTTGGGTAGGATTAGGAGGTGTGTCCTTGTCAGAAGAGGTATGTCACTCAGGGGTGGTCTTTGAGTCTTCCAAATTCCATGCTCCTAGGCCCAGTTCCCTTCCCTTCCCTTCACCCCCCCCCCATTCCCCTCTCTCTGTCCTTCCCTCCTGCCCTTGCTCTGTTCCTGTTTTTTGTGGATCAAGTTGTAAAGTTCTCAGCTACTGTTCCTGTGCCATACGTGTCTGTTTCCCACCATGATGACCATGAATTAACCCTTTGACACTAGGTAGGCCCTCAAATGCTTTCCTTTGTAAGTTGCTTGCTCATGGACTCTCCTCACAGAAAAAGAACAGTGACTAAGACACTCAGCTTTTCATTTAGCCCAGGGCCCAGTCCAGGAAACAGTGCTGTTAATACTGAGGATGAGACTTCCCACCATCGTTAGCCCAGTTATGAAAACCCCTCATACATGTCTACAGGCCACACTTAGCAGATAATCGGTCATTGAGAGTTTCTTCCCAGGTGAGTGCACTTTGTATGAAGTCTACAATACAAACTAGCTATCTAAGGATTGTAAGGAAATCTTTGTTGGCTGTTCTGGCCTTCTAGATTCCAAAAAGTGTCTATACAAAATAGGCCAAGTGATTATATAATATTTTAGTAGCCTGTGTTTTCCCAACTTGAACATTATTAGCATTTCAAATGGCCTCTAGATCTTGATCATGATGTAACTCTCCCTCAGACATGTGGTTATCAGACATAGTGCAAATGCAGTTCTGCAAACTGAACAAATCTTTCCAAAACCCTGAAGCTGGTCACTGTTTACAGAATGGAGCCACACTCCTTGTTTTCGATTTTTGTCTTTCCTTTCCTTATTGTCTAGTATGAAGCCTAGATTCTGTTGAGCATAGAAAACATTTGAGAGTAGCTCATTTATGTTGCTTGTTATCTTACTGTCCTTCCCTGGTAGTCTTGCTTATAATTTCAGTCATTTAGACAGACCTGTTCTTTTCCAATTATTTCTAGTCGCCATGGTTCTAGTCTTATTTTCCCCATCTAATGTCTGAAGTAAAAGCCACATTTAAAACTTTCTTATTATGTGTTATCATTGCATGTCTGTTCCTTCAAGATGCCTCTTCAGGTGGACAGTGTCAGCCATTTCTCTTTGTTATTACAGAATCCACTTAAAATGTTGAGCATAACTATATTTATGGCACTAGGCGTTGGTGGCGCACGCCTTTAATCCCAGCACTCGGGAGGCAGAGGCAGGTGGATTTCTGTGAGTTCAAGGCCAGCCTGGTCTCCAGAGCGAGTGCCAGGATAGGCTCCAAAGCTACACAGAGAAACCCTGTCTTGAAAAACCATAAAAAACCCCCAAAGTCAAAAAAAATCTGTATTTATGTCTTCAATTCCACGTTTGCATACAAAGCTGAGATTATTAACATGTCTCTCAGTGATTTATTCATTATAATGGTGAGAGTTATAAATAGTATTCATTCCCTATGTGGCATTTATTGCTTTACCTTGTTGGTGGCTTGGTCTACTGAAGTCAGTACAATGTGTAGTAACTCTGCTATTACCCCATGTCCTTTCCCTCCATTCCTCTGTATAGTTATGTTTTATAATGATAGAACTAAGTTATTCAGTGAAGCCAACCTAAATGAGAATAATTATTTTTACAGTTGGATAGATGAAAGTTCATTGTTCTTTCTGCAAAGCCCCTAAATAGAGTGAAATAAATCTAAGTGCCCTTTAGTTACATCCCATAAATGAGAATCTCTAATGCAGAAAAATCATCTTAAAAGTATTTATAATGATATACTGATCAGAGAGGAAAGAATATTATTTGCCAGCTCTAACAACAAAAGTTGATTCAAGGTCATAATCCAGCCACTGTGCAGTCACTACTTCCAGGTAGAACAGCTAATGTACGTCCAGTAAATTTCTGCGCTTTAGTGGAGGGTTTCTGTTGCCATCAGTGACATCAGCCAGTACTGCAACTGTACACATGGAAGTGCCTTTCAAAAGAAGTAGCGGGTTTTGTACTGACTTAAAGGAAATATTTAATGCATGCTATAAGAGTGGCTATGGAGGATGTTGTAATAGCATTGCAAAGTGGTTATTGGGACATTAACTTTAGAACAGTAGAATGACAGTGGAAAGCAGAATTTAAAGGAAGAGAGGATTCACCTTTGATTCATGTTTTTTGTTTTTTTTTAAACACATACTCATTAAGATATTTTCAAGGAACTAGAAATAATCTGATAGTGTGTATGTGAGATAGTGATAGGATGTAAGAGCTTTCTCTCTAAAATGTAAGCTTCTTGAACAGGGACTTGGCATTTTTCATTTGAATATTGTGTTGTAATTTGTTTTGAATTATAAGTGTAGATATGCCTTGACCAACTTAAACATCCTTGGTTTAAGATGTTTCATTATAAACTATTATATACACAGATGCTGAAAAATCTAATATAATTTTATTCCTTATTTTATTTTATAATGGTGCATTTTCATTTAATATGCCTTGTTATCCCAAGAATGCCAGTTCTTAATGATTTTACATTTTCCTAGGTTTGATTTTTATAACAAAATGTTTTTTTAACAAAAGCGAATTTTGCAGTTTGTTTATATACAATCACAATGTCATCCCTTTAATGTTATGGGTCCTGTATCCGCTATTTGCAGGCATTCAGCCAGAGCCTGCTACCTTAACTCCTTCATATTTTCTTAGGATTTGATGGCTCCATGTGTCCAAATATTATAATAGTCACACAGTAAATTGATCTTTAAGTTTTTTTCTATGAAAGGTAAAGAGTCATTCAGCTCACCTTACCATTAGAATGTTTGTCATTTTTAAGTTCTGTTTGATAAACACCAACAATACAGATAACATCATTGTGTTTCCCTTAAATGTAGATGATGTTTCTGGATTATCTGATTTATATACAAAAATTTATTAAGCACACCAATTCCATCACTTCTTATCCTCTACTTACCCTCTTTAGTGTTGCCATAGTTAGAACATTTATAGCCTGTACTATAAACAGTTAAATCTACAAGCTGTGTATAGATTGATCCAAAAAAAATGAATTCAGTTGCATGCATATGAGTAAGTGAGGATGTATTGCAATTACATTGGTAATGAACAGTAAACTTGTAGTTTGATGTATTTCTTCCTTTTCAAAAGTATTTGTTGATCTTTTAATGTTGTACAACAGTTTAGTTTGCAGTTAATACAAGTATTAATGAGATGATAATCTAATCAGTAGCAGGTTAACTCTACCCCAGAATTGCCTGTTCTTATGATAGTTATGTTCATTGCATACTCAAATGTTTGTGTTTTCCCCCATTATCTGTTTTAGGCAGGCTAATGAAGAATATCAAATTCTGGCTAATTCCTGGCGTTATTCATCTGCTTTCTGCAACAAACTGTTTTTTGGAATGGTGGACTATGATGAAGGGACAGATGTTTTTCAACAGGTAAAATCTCCGTATGTTATTTTGAAATGCATAACTGAGTTTGTTATTTTTGATACATTTTTGACTGCCAGATAAAATACAAATTACTGTATAAGTTAGTGAGTATAGGAAGGAAGGACAGTAAATTTTATGATGTGGCTAAAATAGAGTTCATATTTAGAGACTGCTAATCTCATCATTCTATAGTTTTACCATTACATTGATTTCTATTTAGAGGAAGTATGCTTTTTAGAATATAGTGGCTATACATGTGCATTAATCTTTCTATGATATTATATATTGGGTAGGTTGTATTTCACACAGGCTTATGGCATTTTATATAGTATAAGTGCAACCTACTTATTTTTGTTTATGTGTGTGATGTGTGTATACATACATGTGTGTGCATGTGTGGATGAGAGTGTACATGCATATGTGTGTATATGGAAGTAAGACATTGACTCCTAATATTTTCCTTTTGCTCTCTCTTTTATTTATTGTTATTTTGTGTACATGTGTGCTTGATATATGCATTGGTGTACATGCCATAAATTGCATGTTGCTGTCAGAGGACAACTTTGTGGAACTGGTTCTCTGTTTTTACTGTTACATTTTTGGGAGAAGGAATATCTTCCTGATCCTGGTTTTTTTGTTTGTTTGTTTGTTTGTTTGTTTTGTTTTGTTTTTTGTTTTTGTTTTGTTTGTTTTTCCTGAGATAGGGTTTTTCACTGACACTTAGTATTGAAAATTTGGGTTGGTTAGTTCATGGGGTTGGCATGTCTGTTCCCCAGCTTCAGTGCTGTGGCTTCAGATACATGGTCCTGTATCTAGGTTCAGGTGGTCTGAGCTGAGGTCCTCGTGCTCCTATAGCATGCACTTAGCCCACTTAGCTGCTTCCCCAGTTATCTATTTTCTACTCCAGCAGATAGAGTTTTATGTGTAAAATATTCCATATTTATCATAAGTGTTTTCTATCTATTACGGCCTAGATCAAACCAGTGTTGAAGCTACAAATCACCATTGACCACATGTGTGAGAGCAAACATTAAACAACTTCCAAGGATGAGTCACTAATCAAGTAGAAATGATATCTTCTTTTTTAATTTAAATTAGAAACAATCTTATTTTACATATCAATCCCAGTTCCCTCTCCCTCCCATCCTCCCATGCCCCCCAACTGGCAGCCCATCCCTTCAGTTCCATAGAAAGGGTGAGGCCTTCCATGAGGGAATCATTAAAGTCTGTCACATCTTTTGAGGAAGAAATAACAGGAGGGCATGTTCTCAGAGGCAGGCCAAGAGAAACCCAAGAATAAGATGGTCTTTTGTAAGCTAGGAAGAGAAGCTTCCTCAGAAATCCCACCTCTCCATTAACCTTGATCTTGCACTGTAGTTCCCAGAAATTTCATACAGTAAACTTCTTTTAATTTACCTTTTCTAGTACACAGCACATATAGAATTGTCAGGTACTCAAATGAAGTCTTCTAAGTAGACAGACAGAACCACATATTTGGGCGTGAGGATGCTAGTCATCACTGGTAGTGCTGTCATGGTTGTGTCATCATGAGTCCTGACACAGTGTTGCTTTTACCAGCAGTGCACTCTGAATGCTTCATATGTATTCTTTAGGGATGCCTCTTAATGAACCAGTCAGAAATGGTATTGTTGCCATGGTTATCACTTGTGTAGAGTGGTATAAGACAGTCCTGGTACACAAACACATCATCCTTTGTGTGAGACTTTTTGGGACGAAATGAAAATGAACATCTACCCCCAGATAGGGAACTGATAACAGACCAAAACAATGATTCCACACAAAGGCAACTTGGGAACCAGCATGTTGATTGGTGTTACTTAGGAGTGTGGGTAAGGGGTTGCTTGCAGGATCATGGTTGACTTCCAGGGATATCATGGATATCCGATGGTTCGTGAAAGCTGCAAACCTAGAGCTCTTTGTAAGATGTCAGTCAGTTCAACAGGTTGGACAGTCAGTCTCCTCCAGACAGCTCCAGAGCCTTTTCTGCTAGCAGTTGCTTTCTGTTTTCATCACCTATTGGAGGGCTCTAAAGAATCCATCAAGTTTCAGCTCTCCAGGCTTTTAAGGCTGTTTACTGCCCAGGTCTCACAACCCTCCCTCTGTTCTCCAGGAGGTATTATTTTAATTCAGAGAAGATTCCTGTATCACACACACACACACACACACACACACACACACACACACACATGTGTTATACATATATGAGGCATACACAACGTATTCATGATATGATTTGTGTTGTATGATATATGTTGTGGTGTGTTAGAATTTGTCAGGGTCTTACCATAGTATAGGAACTGGCTTTATAATTTAGTTTTATAATGAACCTGTTCAAATTCCTACTAAGGTTATTTATGAAACATTACTATGGAGTAGTTTGCAAGAAAAGATTCTTGAGAGCATTGTGCCTCAGTGGTAATGATGGGGCATGGGGTTAAGAAGACCTGAGGTCACATTCTAGCTATACCTCTTCATAGTTGAATGACATGAAGATTTCATCATCTTACTATCTCTCTCTATATATATAGACAGGAAAAAAAATTTGGGATTACTAGAATGAGATATTAATGTGTGGAGATGCTTATTTGTATTCCTGAGATATGTGTTTATTAAGTAACTGCTATTATTATAAATTAGTAATAGTATTGGTATACATTTGTCATCCTCTGACACTACATTCGTTTTGCAGGCTTTGGCTAAATCTGAATTGTATAGAAAGAATCAGAAATTAGGTTAAACAAATAAATACCCAGAAAAGAAACAGAGCAAAAATATAATCTCTGGGTATCTTTTAGGAAAAGTCAAAAGCCTAAATGCTGTCTTAGAAAGTGCAAAGTAAGAATAACTGAGACTGGATAGTTGGAAGTGAACCAAATGTACTGGCCTGCAGTTAGAAAGGACACAGAGGCTAATATAACAATGTCAGCATATGAAGAGCTCCCTCTTATATAGCTGTGGGTGGATAGCAGGGAGGAATGGAAGAGGGAAACTCGGACTTTTATATAGGTGTCTACCCTCCCCTAGAGGGTAGAACTCTCATGGCCTCAATACCTCATGAAGTTCACACACTTTTACAGTGGCAATTTAAATTTAACATGAGTGGTGTGTGTGTGTGGGGGGGGTTGTTTTGAGAGAATAAACAGAAACCGGGGCAAATAGAAACCAAGTATTCCCTGTCTACCTGGAGCATTACAGTAACGTGGAGGTGAATAATGAGCATTTCATAGAATTCAGAGTAGTGCAAATAAGAAATATTTGATACACATATATTGCTTTTAAGAATTTAGAGTTTATTTGCTAAGCTGGTTGAGGCTCTGTAATATTTGTGGCTCTTGTGTGAATTACATGGCTACAGGTAGCATTCTTTTATGGGCTAGGAGCTATTTTGCCTTGACTGTAAACATGGTCATTTTTGGCAGCTAAGCTTTTGGTGATATCCTCACCTGATGCCTGCTCTTTAACAAGTTACTTGATCTTGGTTTTGATTCTCATTGAGTGAGTCTCTGCTTTTTATTGTAAGGTCTTTTTAATATAATCCCCAGATAGCAGAAATTTAATACATTGATATTGTAGTTAGCTATTCTATCAATTATCCTATTATTTTCTAACTTGTTTTTAATAAACATAAGACCATGGCAGTGTTTTCACTTATATATTTTATGAGGACACATTTTCTTTAGAAAAGTTTGCTATGCTTTAGTCATTTTACGACAAATAGTTAAGAAGTTGAAAGGATCCAGACTATCAGGCATTTTTATTATCTCTGTCATATTCAAGTTGATTATAACAAAAATACTTGTGTCTGTTGCTTATAAACCATCAACTAAAAAGAATAATCTTTAAATTTTTCTTAAGAAATTTGATTACCTGTAATGTGCTTGTAATAAGTTCCTTATGGGCTCCCACTCCTGCGCTGCTCCAGTAGCTGGTGAAGAAGTGGGGTGCTCCACTTGCTGACCAATCACTGGGTTTCTGTTTGCACTTCTATGCATGTTGCATCATTTTAATCATAAAGCTCTGGACAAAGAATGAAAAACTAATCAGGCCACTTAAGCAAATTCAGCCATTCCTCTTCACTTAATAGTGCATCAAGATGAATAAAAGTAGAATTAAACCTCAGAAAGCCATGCAGGTTTTCTTAATTCTTACTTTGGAAATGCAGATAAAAACATAGAAAATGTTGGATGAATATTATGAGATATTGGGTTATTTTTATAATTACCATTTTGTCACTTGCTTTCCAGCTCAACATGAATTCTGCTCCCACATTCATGCATTTTCCTTCAAAAGGCAGACCCAAGAGAGCAGATACTTTTGACCTTCAACGAATTGGATTTGCAGCCGAACAGCTAGCAAAATGGATTGCAGACCGAACGGATGTTCATGTATGTTTTTATTCACTGTAGTAAATATGTGTGTGAGACAGAGTATGTATTATGCATATACTTATATATGTTTAGGCTGATTACTTTGGTTTGCTAGACCATTGGAATGAAGCAGGAGGGTTTTTGTTTTTGTTTTTGTTTTTATTTTAGCTCATCTGTGGCCTTTTGTGCTTTTCCTTGCTTAAAGCTTTGTTTTTGCCATTCTGGGTTGAACCCAGGACCTACTTAGTGTGAATATGTATTCTACCATTCAGCTACATCCCCAGCTCCTGAAACCTGGACTTAACAGCTGTAACTGGTAGTTGAATTTTGGTTAGTCCATTCAGATGCATTGTTGCATAATGATCAATCGATATTCTAAACAAACACTAAAAAGTGTATTAGCTAGGTACAGATTAATTTCAGGGAAGTGAAAATGCAATGAAAATAGTTTAATATTATTAGTGATCAAAGTAAGTCTAATTAAGTAGCTAGAAAAAAGAAAATCATGAATCTTCTATATAAGTTGAGGAAAGTTTCAGTGCTGTAGAAAATCCACTCTACCATGTATTGCTCTGGGGACTGGCTATTGGTCTAACTATTCAGACAGCATGTGTCCTATGTCTATCTTCAGTAATTTAACTTAACAGTGCCACTTCTAGGAATTGGAACTTAAGGGTGACTCATATTCTTATCTCTGAAAAAAATTAACAATATTAATTTTAATTGAAAAAGCTGGAAACAAATCAAATACCTTAAAAAAAAAAAGGGTTTTTACATTGAATGAAATTCAGTGTTTAACAAGTAAATTGTCAGTTAGAAGAGTAATATGGACCCTGTGATATGGGTTTTGTTTCATAACATTTCAGCCAATGTTATGTGCATAGACTAAGACAGATAATTTATTCTGAATATAAACTAACTGTAATTTTGGTGGGTATTGATTTCTCTGTGGAGGGCTTATAGCTGTTTTCTTTAATCAGTTATTTTAGCAGTTATTTTAAAAGTCATTAAGAAACCTTGAATTTTTACTAAGATACAAACATATTTTCTGAGACGAGAGATACTTGTCTTATGGTATTTCCACCTTTCACCTACAAAGTGTTATCACCTGCTTTAATAATACTTTGGAATAAATTGTTTCCCAAATTTGTTCATTTGAAAAATCTTTTGGTTTATTATGTACCAATGATGTATTACCTAATTGATTTAAGACATCAAGGATTATTCTAAAGTACTCTTTTTAGTTCATCATAAGAAATACTAGAGGCTTAGGGATAAGACACAGCTAGAATTCAGTTCTGTTTTTTTATTTATATTAATAACAAGCTTGCTTCATATGTCAATCCCAGCTCCCTCTCCTCCCCTGCCCCACATGAAGCCCTAACCCCATCTCCCCTCAGCTCCCCAGGGAGGGTGAGACCCTCCATCGGGGATCTCCAAAGTCTGTCATATCATCCCAGGCAGCGCCTAGGCCCCCCATGTGTCCAGACTGAGAGAGCCTCCTCCATGTGGAATGGGCTCCCAAAGCCCATTCCTGTGCCAGGGATAAATACTGATCCACTACCCGAGGCCCCATGCATTGTAGAGGCCTCCTCACTGACACCCATTTTCAGGAGGTCTGGATCAGTCCCATGCTGGCATCTCAGCTATCGGTCTGGGGTCCCTGAGCTCCCCCTTGTTCAGGTCAGTTGTTTTTATGGGTTTCACCAGTCTGGTCTTGAACCCTTTGCTCATATCACTCCTCCCTCTCTGCAAGTGGGTTCCAGAGTTCAGTTCATTGTTTACCTGTGGGTATCTGCTTCTGCTTCCACCAGCTTCTGGATGAAGGCTCTAGGATGACATATAAGGTAGTGATTAATATCATTATAGAAGAAGGGCATTTAAGGTCTTAACACCCATGTCAGGCATCTAACAGTCACGGGTAACTCCAGGTCCAATGGCCCTGATACCCTCCTCTCCTAGGGCACTTGAAATCACTTTCATGCATGCATTCTCTCTCTCTCTCTCTCTCTCTCTCTCTCTCTCCCTCCCTCCCCCTCTCTCTGTCTTTCCTCCTCCTCCTTTCTTTCTTGCTTCTCCTTTTTTCCACTTGTGTAACCTCTCCTGTCATGCCTGTTTCTAATTTATTGCTATTGTTATTTAGCTGAGTGCTAAAATTGCCTGATATTTGACTGTCTGAGCACCCCAACACACACACACACACACACACACACACACACACACACACACACACACACACACACACACACTGTGTGTTCCCCCATGCTCCTGGTCCCTGAGACACAGCTCCATAATTGTTTTCAAAGACTGCTCTTATTTTCTGGAACATTGATTTCCTCTAGGCTCTTGTTTGTGATCTGCACTCTACCTAGCATTTTGTCCTCAGATTCTCCTAGTTCCTTTCCACAGAAAATGCTTCTAGAACCAATTTGTAAATCACGAGTTTGTTCCAATTGTATCACTTTGTAAATAAATATGGCTTTTATATGTTAAAGTACAATCAAATGGATTTGAGTTGACAGCCTACAGAGTGAAATTTGCAAGTCCTATTTTCTGAAGACCTAGCCACATATCTAGGTATATGTGTGGGTCTTAAACTCAACAACAAAACATCAAATCTCACCTAAAAATCTGAATAAACAGTTCATTGAAGAAAATATACATAAGGCCTAGAAGTACCCAGAAAAAGTGTTCATCATTACATTGCAGGCAAATAAAAGCCCAAACCACAATGAGATAGTACTTTATACCTAGGAGGATGTCTAGAGCCAGTATGTTGATAAGTGGCGTTGCCAGAGATGTAGAATAACTGGAACATTACTGTACTCCTGGAGTATGTATGCTAGCACTGGCACTTCAAAAACAGCCTCATCATTCTTCAATTAAACATGGAGCTCTCCTGTGTTCTCTGTGAGAGAGTAATGAAAGCACAGATACCTACCAACATGTGTGGGGTGGGGGTACAACTCTGAATGTATGCTGCAGTTGCTTGTGCAAGTAGAGGTCAACGTGGGTGAATATGGGAATTGGCATCCATAGGGCTTGAGTGGGTAAGTTAGACTTCTAGGTTAGATTTGCATAGCTTTGTTAAGCATGGCATTTAAAGTCTCTAGTTGAGATCATTCACATGTGCCCACACCTTAGCTTACCTTACCAGGTACTAGCTAGTTGAATTGGTTTGTTGCGTGATCCAGAACAGCTCTGGGATTCACATGTAGCATTTACATAGACTCCAGTGTATGAACAAAAGGAAGAGAGTATCTCTGTACAGCCAAGGTGTTCAAAGCATGTATTTTGATTCATTAAGAGCTCAGTAAATGTACTGTCAAAGCTAGATGTGAAAAATAGCATGTCAGTTCTCTGAATTCTCTGTGTTAAAGATAGAAACACTATACGTTGATTTTGTGTCAGTGGATGGCCCCAACCCATTAGTATATAGACAGCACAAAGGAACTGGACAGCATAAAAGAGAGTGAATAGGTTATTCTTAAAAAAAAAAAAAAATAGAGGATGGGAAGTTGAGGGCAGATCTGGGAGGAGTTAAAGGGAGGAGTTAGGAATAAATACGATAAAAAAAAAAAACGTGTAATTCTCAAAGAAAACTAGTTAATTAAAGTTAGTGATGACTAGAATATGATTAAAAGAGAAGTGTTGTGTTTATTCTTTATTCTTTTAATTTTCATTGTTTGTTTTTTGCAGATTCGAGTTTTCAGGCCACCCAACTACTCTGGCACCATTGCTTTGGCTCTGTTAGTATCCCTTGTTGGTGGCTTGCTCTATCTAAGGAGGAACAACTTGGAGTTTATCTATAACAAGACTGGTTGGGCCATGGTATCTCTGGTATGTTATCACATATCCTGCTGCCTCTGCTGCTTGTGAAATTGTATTTTATAATAACAGAATGAGCCAGATTATTACTGTAGTGAAAATAACCCAAATGAGATGTCATATTATTTTTATAAGTAAAATAGATTAAATTTACCATTTCATCTTCTTCTATTTTTTACTATTAAAATGTAATGACTCTAGTGTGTGCCACATTCCAAAAATTAATGTATCTTGAGCATGTCTGTAAGTATGGTGATGAGGTAGTAAGAATTAGCAGTTTGAACTAATTTGTTAACTGAAGCGATTTGGGTTTATACTCGTTCAGCTTAACCCCCAGCAGTTCTTTTATCTCCAGTGTGCCTGTGACATACTTGTTAGACACTGGTTATATAAGAATGAGACACAACTAGTTGTGGGGGTACAAACTGCTTAACACACACCTACCATGCAGAGTTGTACAGGCTCTTACAGTGATCAGCAGGGAGAGCTGTAGGAGTACACAGGGAAAGTGCCAAGCCTGAAGTGGTGAGAAAATTGGACAGGCAGTCTAAAGTGTAGCAGCAGCTGAATTGAAGAGGAATGGAACTCTGAAGGTGTTATGGACAGTGAAAGGAGCCATGATTGTGTGGAATTAAAAAATAAAAAGTGAAATGTTACACACAGTGCCAGGTTACAATGGGAAACACAAGAAGGGTACATGCTAAGGAATTTAACTGATGCTGGAGTGCTTACACTTCCACCAATGGGCAATGGCTGAAAGTGACTTTGAAAGATAGGAGATGGGTCCAGATGATATTAAGGCCAATCCATAGGACATGTTCTTATTTCATGTTTTACAAAACTGGATTTTTGTCTGTAGCTAAAATCATACTACCCTCTTTAAATAATTAGCTAATAACTGGGCCAGCAAGATGGTTCAGTAGGTAAAGGCTCTTGCTGCTGAGATAGTCCACCTAATTCAGTCTTCAGAATCCAGGCAGTAGAATGAGAGTACAAACTCCAGACCGCCACACACACTGACACTGTATACACCTGAAGAATAAGTGTAAAATACCAAGAATTAACCAAAGTAAAACATACAAAACATCTCCAAAAATGACATGAATACTATTTAAAATTGATTTAGTTAAAATACAAAGTCTTAAAGTATAGATTCCTGGGATGGAGAGATGGCTCAGTGGTTAAGTAGCACTGCCTGCTCCCCAGAGGTCTTGAGTTCAATTCCCAGTACCCATGTGGCAGCTCACAACCATCTATAACTGCAGTCTATAACTGGTTTCTTATGGGATCTGATGCCCTCTTCTGGTGGACATATGTATCTGCAGACAAATTACTCATACATTAAAAAAACAAAACTCCGTTTTGAAAATATAATCTGTGGGGCCTCTTGTAATAGATAGTACTTACCCCTAGCATAGGAATGGACTTTGGGAGCCCATTTCACATAGAGGAATACTACCTCAGCCTAGACACATGGGGGAGGGCCTAGGCCCCATCCCAAAGATATGACAGACTCTGAAGACACCTCACTCTCCCTGGGAGCAGAATTGGTATAGGATAGGTAGCGTGTTAGTAGGGGGCAGGGGAGGAGAGGAGGGAGAGAGAACTGGGGTTGACATGTAAAACAATCTTGTTTCTAATATAAATAAAAAATGGAGAAAAAAAGGAAAATATATACATTATAAATAGAGGCACAACATTTATGTTACAGAAGTAGGCTTTAACTATTAGTAGGAAATAATAGTATTCCCTAATATATGAAGGACTGTTCATTTTTCATTTCTCAGTTAATTTGAAATATATGGCATGAAAGCAAAATTTGTAACACCAGATTAATGGATTGTCTGATTTATCATATGTGTGTATATCTACCTTCATATAATAGAAATAGCATCTGAAGGCTAATTTGTTCCTGGCTCACATACTGTCACTATGTCTTAAGTAGTTTAGTATCATATTTAAATTGAGGGGGATTAGCTTAAGATACATGTTGTAATATTCAGAAGAATATCTGAAAAAAATAGCAGATACAGGTAGAAATCAAATACAAGTGTTAAGGTGGAAAGTAATGTAATTAGTACAGAAGCAGATATGAAAACAACAGAGGGAGAAAGGCATGTGACATACAAATAAACTTGAGAGACAAGTTCAGTCACATCAGGGTATTTATTGCATTAGATGCAAACAAGTTTAGCATCTAATGAAGAAGCAGAGCCCATCATACTGGATCTAATAATGCAGTAGCAAACTGGCCTGCATGCTTCCATAGCAAGAACAATCGAAGGCACTTAGTGCTAACTATATTATAAGCACATAAAAAGAGACTTAATAAATGGAGAAGTGTGTGCATTCAAGAGCATAAGGTGTAATATTGTATATCACATCTTCTTCATATTTAGATGACAGTTATATCCTGGAAAGCCTTGTTAGAAGACATCCATGAGCTGATTCTAAAGTTCATGTAGAAGAGCCTTGGAATGTTGAGCTGGCTTAAAAAAAAAAAAAAAAAAAAAAAAAAAAAAAAAAAAAAAAAAGACAACCAAAGACCTTGCATTAGCTGGTGTTGTCTTATCTAAAGCTATTGTAATCAGAATAGTGTGGAATTGGCCTGTGACTTGATGCCTAAACATTGGAACAGAGTGCTGGGGACTGAACATCTGCACATGTACATGTTCAATTCACTCTTGAACACAGGTGCTAAGAAATCAAAATGAGACATACAGGCTGGCACAAGTAATGCTGGAAAATACCTAAGTGCGAATAAGGAGACAATTAAAGGGACCTCACATCTGTGACATGTACTCAGTGGCGTATGGTTCCCTGTACAGGAGCTTAAGTGACACTTCTAGAAAACTGCAGAAAATTGTAGCATAAGATAAATGAATATGTAAGTGAAAAAAGGATGAATTACTCCTGATTACGGTTCAAACTTCCTGCTCTTCAAAAGATGCCCTGAAAAGTAATCCATAATATATAGGCCAAATGAAAATATTTGGAAAGCATATGGTATGATAAGAACACATTTACATGTAAAGCTACTGGTGATAGGAAAACAATGCTGTCATGTTTAGAAGTAGACCAATGGCTTCTACTTAGGATGGAATAAATGGCTACTGCCATTTGCTTCACAATGACACAACTGGAAAAACTGGAGGGAATGTGAAACTCCAGCATTCAATTTTCCTACAAAGTAAATGTGAATAGACCGGCCACTCCAAATGCTGTCTAATTGGCAGAGCATAGGTAACTTTTTTTTAAAATTTTTTGTTTTTATTAGTTCCAGTTAGGGAACAAGCTTGTTTCACACCCTTCTCCTTCTCCCTCTCCCTCCCCTCACCCCCATCCCTCCTCCCCTACCCCCACCACATCCACCCACCACTCCCCAGGCAGGGTAGGGCCCTCAATGGGGGCTCTGCAAAGTCCACCAAATCTTCCTGTGCTGGGCCTGGGCCCTTCCCCATGTGTGCAGGACCAGAGTGTATCCTTTTACGTGGCATGGTCTATCTGAGTCCCTTCTTACACCAGGGAAAAATACTAATCCATTACCTGAGGCTCCCTGGAGTGCAGAGGCCTCCTTATTGACATCCATGTTCAGGGGTCTGGATCAGTCTTGTACTGGCCTCCCAGACAGCATCTGGGGTCAATGTGCTCTTCCTTGTTCAGGCCAACTGTTCCTGTGGGTTTCTCCAACCTGGTACAGACCCCTTTGATCTTCATTCCTCCCTCTCTTCAAATAATTCCAGATTTCAGCTCAGTGTATATCTGTGGATGTCTGTGTCTGCTTTCATCAGCCACTGGATGAGGGCTCTAGGATGGCATAAAGAGAAGTCATCAATCTCATTTTAGGGGAAGGGCTTTTAGTTTATCCGCTCCACCATTGCCTGGATTGTCACATCGTGTCATCCTTATAGGTCTCTGGAGATCTCCCTGGTTCCAGATCTCTTCTCGGACCTATAGTGGCTCCCTCTGATATGGTATCTCTCATCCTGCTCTCTCTCCTCTATTCTTCCCCCTACTCAATATCTCTGCTCCTCCATTTCCCCTCCTCTACTCTTCTTCTCCTGCTGTTATTGTGTCAGCTCCCTCTCCCCTACCCTCATGCTCACAATTAGCTCAGGAGTTCATGCCACTTCCCATTCCTGGGTTCCATTTATCCCTTAGAGTCCTTCATATTTCCTAAATTCTTAGGTGAAGAGGATTATAGGCTGGTAATCCTTTGCTCTATGTCTAAAATTCATATATGAGTGAGTACATACCATGTTTGTCTTTTTGTGACTGGGTTACCTCACTCA